TGATGTTTAACATCTGAAGTGTTCTGTCAAACTCGACTGCGCTTATGCTGGAAATTAATATCGTCACATTGTCTACATGTGGGCAGAAAGTGAGAACATGAGGTCTATAAGAAAGAAATACAACATCAAACAAGGAATTAGACACAGTAATACATCCCCAATTTCAATATGATGTAGGGGGATTTTTGTCATCTTAATATGACTTTGTTTATTTTTGTAACACAAGCCTTGATTGGATAATTGCATAGTTTATTGTATACCAACCTGGTGGCCTTCTTCAGACAGGACAGCTTCTATTGACATGTCACTTGGTTTGAACTCCAAAGCAGCTCCTGAAATAACATTCAAACAATGCTTGTCAAAAAGACTAAAACATGAAACCAAAGATTAGGTTGAAAAGCAACCTTTTCTACCTTAAAAGTCAATTCTTATTTACGTCACAACCTTCAACCAGTACCCACAGATCTTGACTTACCTGTCACCTCCTCAGAGAGACTTGGGACGTCACCCAGGCTCTCTGTGCCATCGTCTACCAACCCAACATTCTCAATGGCAGCTTCCTGCGGCGAGAGAAGATCCCAGGAGATCAGGCTTCACCATCTATAGTAACCTCATTGGTAACACTGCCCTTGACATTTACAGCACACCCAAGACAAGCATGCATGCACATGCACACAAGCCCAGGCTAGAAAACACGACAATATATCTTGTTTTCGTGTTTAACGTGTGATGTGCCATTTTGTTGTCTTAAGTAACAATAAAGTAGATACAGAGTCAGATTTCTCCCATAATGATTTCTGAAATACTTGATAATCATTTATTGTCCGATGTCATCGTTACACATGCATACACAGCTGTCATGTTAGGTCTACACTCATTGATATAAATGAGGTGAACAAAAACAGACATACAGTCTTCCACAAATACTTGCACATACAACTTGAACAGACAATAGTTGTGGAAGAAGAGACGAGCCAGTGCCTTACACATTCATAAATAAATCGAGACATAACAGTATCTGACAAATGGGTCATCATTTGGTACTAGTGGTGGAAAGTACACAATACTTACTAGTACAATGTACACGTACTTTACTTGAGTATTTCCATTTTATGCTACTTTATATTCACTCCACAACAATTCAGAGAGAAATATAGTAGTTTTTACTCCACTACATTTGTTTAATACCTATAGTTACTTTGCAGATCCAGATTAATAGATCAAAATAATAATAGTCAACAAATAAATGATGATGTATTATCATAGGTTAAGATAGACTATATTGATCACTTGGTGAAATCCACACACTATCAGAAAGTATTTATAGTTTTTTGAAAAAGCCCTTCCTTTACCAGCTGCAATAATATAATTCACATTATTCTGAAATTAGCCATTTTGCCTAATGAGTAATTCTGTACTTTTGATGCTAACACTTTCATACTTTTACTTAAGTAAAAATTTGAATGCAGGACTTGTAACAAAGGATTTATACACTATGGTATTGCTACTTTTACTTAAATGAATGCTCTGAGTACTTCTTCCACCACTTTTTGGTACTTTACATTTGCGGTAAGCTCTATTTTAAATGAAATTCTATGTCTTGAGCAAGACAAATAACATTCCTCCAAAATACATTCAGGCATACAGAGCTTCAAGCAGAGTTTACTGAGCCGGTTTCTCTGGCTCACCTCGGGGGAGAGGAGGGTCCAGCTGTTGGTTGAGGATCCGCTGCTGCCTGTGCTGTTGCTGTTGTCAGACATCGCCCTCTCCAGGCTCAATTTGGCACAGCGCGGTGCAGATTCAGCTTTATGAAATTCTGCAGACGACGACAGAAACGTGCTTCATTGAACCTGTCTGGAGCATACACTATACGCCTTACGGGAGTTAATAAAATGATCTAGATGTAATAATCTGACTGTAACCTGGTTATTGTTACAGTTAAATGTAGGTCAATGGCCTAAATTTCACGTATGCACAGTTCTGAACATGTAAAATACACAAAACGATGTGAAAAAATACACACAAAATGTCAATCTAGGTGTAATTTTCTGCAGTATTTCAGTGGTGATTATGTAGATAGCATTGTAAGAGGACACAATGATGCCAAAACGTTACAGTTTGGGGCCTAATATAGCGAACGCATTGGATAAAGATAAGATCGTCGTAGATGCAAGTTATGTAACGGTGTAGTGGCATCCATACTACACTGCTGCGCAGTAAAACAAAGGGTTCAGACAGAAGAAACTGATTGGATTCACCGCCGCCGCTGTTTCCAGCCAACCATTCATTCAGATCCTTCCTTTCACTCAATCTGTGTGGCAGTTAAATGACCAAAAATGGTCAAAACCCCAGACACGAGCAGTCCATTGATCCAGAAACTAGCAAGCAGCGGTTAATACTCACTTGTCGACAACAGTATGTGCGCAAAGCTTCTTTTTCGCATATGTAAGAAACTAAATAAAGACGCTATGATTGTTGTGGCAACCACATTAAAGGCTCACTCGTGATGGTAAACAAAGGATGGTAGGCAGTATCTTATTTTTCCCACTCCCACTCTTCCGCGTTTTCAATCAGGCCCAAATGTTCGCAAGCGCTATAAACACCTGCTCGACTGTAAATTAAACACAAAGAAGACGGTTTATTTACCCCACTTGCTTACACCTCAGTCGCTCGTTGTTTTTCCCCTTCAAAACGTTTTTTTTTTAGTATGAACAACGCTCCTCTCTTCCCCTGAACTTGGGAACTTTGGGAATTCCAAGCTGCGTCACGTCAACCAAGGCGCTTTCCACCCAATGGGATTTCAGCAGAGGCTACCGAGCTCCCACCCCTGAAGCAAAGCTGGACCAATCAGATACAAGTGTCGTGTCAGATTGGGAAACGACGCACATCCCAGCATGATTGACGCCCGCAGGTGAACGTGGAAGGTGATGGACGCAGATCCTTCCCCATGGTTTTTAATAATACAGTTTCTGAACCTATCCCTCAAGATACAGGCGTGCACACACACACATAGGCTATATATACGGAGGGCAGAGGCTACCAGGACCAGCAGTGCACTGACACGTCTGCAGAGCTATATTTGAACTGCGGGACTTAACACAGCGGACAACCCCTTCTCTCCGGTTGCTCCTGTGTGGACATTTATTTCATCATCTGGCTTATTTTCTTCTAAAATTAGAGTCTGTTAAGTGTTTTGTCTGTGAGAGGCACATTTACTTTTACAAATGCGCATATGTGATGTAGTATCACTAACCTTGTAACACAAAAACATCCACTAGTAGCCTATTGTACAAATTATAGGCCTATATAATAATATATTTACAGTTTAACATGCTTGTATCACTATCTATAAACTCTGCATGCTTCATATATATGGCCTACTACAACTTTCATTGTGCAGCTCTGTGTTGTAAAATGACAAATAAATATAGGCTACTTCAACCATTAACCACAGACCTGCATGCATATAGGCTGTACATAACCAACCACTTCATGTATATAAAGTAATCTAGTGCTTTACACATTCAATATTTATTCTTTTGCACTATTTGTGTTTGTTTACAATCTACTCAACATTTGACTTGTATAGATATTGTATGGTGTTTGTCTCTGTTGCTTTATATACTGTATAGCCTATATTTATCTTTGTTCGGCTCTGTTTTCCTTGTTTTCAGCTATGTCTATTTTTATCTTGTAAACTGTTCTTTGTGTAAGTACAATGAGAACAACTTAAAACTGGAGTAAAATTCCTTGTATGTGTACATACTCAAACTTGGGCAATAAAGCTGATTCTGATTCATTTCTGAAATGAGAACCCACACAAACATGAAATAACACCATGAAAGAGAAATGGAGTCTCTATGGCTCCAGATAAATTATTTTATATGTAGATTGCAGTGGTGTAAGATGGACTCATTTCAGGCTACATAAAGGAGTAATAGACATACCACAGTGTTATATATCACTCCTAAATGGAAGCAAAAAGTAAAGGTATGGCAAGTGTAATATTATTCTGTATATTATTTTTAATGTTTAATTATTAGTATACTGATGCATTAATGTGTAAGCAGCATTTTATATCTAACAGAGCTTCACACTATCTAAGATGAGCATATTCATTTTGTATGTGACATCTGTAAACAATCTGAAAAGTTACTATTAACTGTAGAAGTGTCATAAAAAGGAAAAGCACAAGTAAAGAAGGGAAGTGTACACAATACATGAGCTAAGTATGTGGCTTATTTAGTGACTTTTCACAATTGGTATGGCTATGGATCCTCAGTATTACAGTCAGACTCTGTGACTGTCAGTCCCCTTTGTTGTTGTAAATTGAAACTAATGGACATTTTACTGTAATTTACTTTAATTACAATTTTTCATCAGCCGATCTTAAAAGAAAATAAAAACGTTCAAAGTTGTCATCAGTTTAAAATGGAAGCCATTGCATTAGAAGTCCAACTTTACCTGTTCTGAAAGAATCATGTTATCCTTTCTGTCTCTTTGATTAATATAATATATAATTAATATTAATACTGTGACCTTACAAAACAGTGTCAAACTCACGGCTGTATTAAGAGCTTTAAGAGCGTTAGAACTAAGAGTTTTTCTAATGCAACCATTGTCAAAATTCACTAAAGACACATAAAATCTACGAATGTGATGATGCAGTGAAAACAGTCACTGGTTATGCAACAACATTTAAGTATGTCTAGTTTCGATTGGCCCTGCGATGGACTGGCGACCTGTCCAGGGTGTACCCCGCCTTTCGCCCGATGTCTGCTGGGATTGGCTCCAGCCCCCCCGCGACCCTGTACACAGGATAAGCGGCTGACGATGGATGGACAGTTTCGCTTGACTGTCTTGCAGACTTCCTGTAAGACAAGTTGGGGGGGACTCTTTGCTAACCAATTAGAAGGCTCCATTGCACTTACGCAGATATCCTGAGACAGACAGAACCGACCAATGGTAAGAGAGTTCTTTAGCTCGATTGACCAATAGGATATGACTTTGTCTATTTGAACGATGAAAAGCGGGCTTGCAAACATTCGAGAGGGAAACAAAGAAGGAGTGGACATCTCGCTACGCTTAGACGCAAAAAGAAGTGGAGTAATTGACTTTCCCCCCACCATCAGGATATTTTTTACAATCATATAAGGTAACTTTGAAACCTAAGTGTTTGCATCGCACAACAGGAGAAACATCTAGTTTGGTGTTTACATAAATGTAAGTTGTCAAAGATAACGCTCGCTCTCGGCTAACTTGAGCAACGTTAGCCTAACTGTTAGCCTCACTCGCTTAGCGACGCAAACTAACGTTATAGGTTGCTGTCGCGTTTGCCTTTATAATGTTTAGCCAAATGTGCTTTATATCTGATTCTAAATGTTGACTAATTAAAAAAAAACAAAAAACTTCTCCAGGTTCCTGTCATGTCTCACAAACAGATCTACTACTCTGACAAATACGACGATGAGAAATACGAGTACAGGTGTGTAGGCTCATGTTTATGTCTAAGTTACACCATGTACTTTACTTTTGTCAGTGTTAATGTTGTTTTAAGACGAATTTAATAATCTTACCGTGGTGGCATTGTATCGAAACTGTCGTCAGTTATGTAACACGATGCATCGTAGTTATATTTATTTGGTTTGTCTACAGGCATGTGATGCTGCCCAAAGAAATAGCGAAACGTGTACCCAAGACCCATTTGATGTCGGAGACCGAGTGGAGGAACCTTGGGGTCCAGCAGAGCCAAGGATGGGTGCATTACATGATCCACCAGCCAGGTATATTATCTTGTTGCCAGAACAGGGACAACGTCTTCAACACTACTTGAAAAGATACCAGTAGTAAACAAGGAAGTCCTAAACATATGAATATCTAAATAGTAGCTCTTTCTGTTGCTGTGCTCTGCAGAGATGAAAACTCAGCATGTGTGCTTAAGTTATCATTCATGAAAGGACACCTGTGGGTGTGGTAACTTAGTTTCACTGTCAGTATCGGTGACCCACGAGTTGAGACTGAGATTTTGGGGACTGGTGACACTGACAGTAGACAAGACGGACCTGATTGGGTACGGGATGGAAAATTTTATTTGTAATGTTAGATTCTTAAGTATGTATGTATTGGGTTTCATAAATGTACACTACCATACTAAATAAGCATGTCCCAATGCATTTGTTGTGATTAAGTGTGAAAATGGGATTCTAATCTAGAAGTATACATGGTAATTTGAAAGTTGGAGCCTTTTGCCCCCTTCCTTTTACTTGGCGCAGTTGCTATGGTGACCCACCATGATATCTTTCAGACACAAGATGAAAAATGCAAAGTCTATTGTCGGAGTGTGATGTTATAATGGATAAAGTTACACCTTTTTTGAGGAGTTGGTACAAATGAGTGGTAAACGGTTCAATAGACTTGGTGACCACAAGCATATGGACGGCAGGTGTCAAACCCAGCTGCACCCTTCATAATGGAATAGGAGTCAAGCTCCCCCACAAGGAATCAAGCATCACAGCCGTTCAGTATCATTATCTCTGCTTATATATTGTGTACCTTGTTCTCCCCCTCCCCCGCAGAGCCGCACATCTTGCTGTTCCGGCGCCCTCTGCCCAGCCAAAAATCATAAGGGGGAGATTCTCTGGGTCCTTGGAAGATCAGTCCTACTTATGTGCCACAGATCAACTCGACTAGGGATCATGCTGTCAACTACCAAGCTCTTGTGTGGTAGGTGATTTGGGCTGATCATGTTGGACCTGGAGAAGGACTATCACATTTATGAACAGTGGTTGTGGAGTATACATTGATGGAAGAAAGAAAATCCTCACCCTTCTCTTAGGGAAAAGACTTCTTCATGTGTTCACAGCGACACGCTGTCTGCTAGACCTTCAAATCATCTTACTGTCTTTTTGACTTTACCTATCTGTCCAACTTGCTGAACCTGTTTGGATATTTCAGCTTTTTAGATTGTTATAAGATGTGGAGAGTGAAACCTGTTCAAAACATTTGAGTAATTCTAACGGGAGTGGACTCTGGGTCAAGCTCGGGTCAGAATACAAACCAGACAGAATAGTTGGATCCTAAATGAAGTTTGACTCTAGAACATCAAATTGCGGTTTTAAGTGACATGTTGCTGCTTGGTTTAAATGGCCTCTAAATTGGCATTTAACAATTTTTGTCATGTGTATGGAAAGCCGCATCTTTAGGAGTCTCCTAGAAACTACTTTTGATCCCTTTTTCCATAAGGGCATATTATATTAGCTTTGGCCTACTTCAGACAGATCCCTTTCAACAGTCTGATTTGTACCAGTGAGCTGCTCAGTATTTATGAATGTGTTGCCCTTTCTGAAATAAATGATTTTTAAATGTTATTAGTGTGGACTTGGGTTTTGGCAGTTTTGGAAGTTTGCAACTGCTGTACGATTAAAGCGCCACTTGAAATTAAATCGGGGGGGCAGTTGATAGCATAGATGGCAGACACTACCCTAAACATGCTTATAGAATAAATCTGGATCATTGAATGACAAGTTGGGGAAATGGGTTGTGTGGGTTTGGTTTTTTCTTTTTGATATGGAATATTGAATTAAGACACTCATTGTCAAACTCCTGAATACTTACCCACTCTGACATGTTTGTGTACCTTCTTTTCCCTTTTTACTACCACATGCTGAGCTGCTCTGCTGTCACTGAGGCTAAAATATTGCCTTGAAAAGTTGTTCTGTGAACTTGTGCCTTTTGTCAGGTATTACACGTGTAGGTATAAAGCTGTTCTACCTTTCAGAATTATTAAAAAATCAATATTGGCAAAGTTATGATGCATTCAGTCTTTGATTAAATGAAATGGGTGTTTGACAAAATCCTGTACCTTTTTAAACGTATGTTAGATGAGGTTTGACCTTGTTTAGTCACTGGACTATAACACCCGAATATTAAATTACAAAGATGGGGGTGTGGAATTGACGACGCCCCATTCTTGCAATGCAACGGTACATGGCTGCATCGAAATGGAAACATTTACTTAACTCAATAGTTCCCAAACTTTTTCTGTCACTCCCTCCCAAGTTTATCCTTAACCCAGTAAAAAATGGCTTTATTAACAACGCAGGCGATTTTTTTTTGAAATAAAATTCAGGTTGGCAAAATAGTCTTGCTAGCATCAGCTCACTTTTGTTTTATTGCACCACATGAATCATAGTGGCTCTGTCTCTCTAATCTCCACACAGTGTGTGTGTGTGTGTGTGTGTGTGTGTGTGTGTGGGAAATGTGACCGGAATCACCCCTACTTCTCTGCATCCTTCCTGACTGCCTGTTTTCAAAAGCGATTAGATCACACCAACAACTATTCTGTTAATTCATGAGCTGCATGGCATGATGAATCCATGCTGGACGAAGTAACCATTGAATAAATGAATTGACGTGCACCTACTATGCAGACTGAAACAAGTCACGTAACGCATGCGGTCTCATGCTTTAATCCTTAAAATCTTGTGGGTGTGATCTGTGAAGAAGCCTCACAGGAAATTCAATCAGTCCTACTGCAACAATGCTTTAAATCAGTGGCTTGCAAACGTTTTCATGTGAAGGACCCCTAAACTGACAAATTGGATCATGAAACCCATGACCAGAATAGCGATACATTCTGTGTTAGTTATGGATGGAAATGCAGTGAAACCTTTTTGCTGGGGACCCCTTGGAATCCCCTCAAGGACCCCTGGGGGTCCAATACCGCTTTTAATGATGTACTACTTTCCTGGATGACCCCAGAAGCGATTAGCAATGTATTCACAGCTTCATTACAACTCAACATGTGTGTGTTACTGGAATAAGTGTGAGCCAAAACTGGCCATGTATACAATAATCAGGTGTGGGGCAACATCACCATACCTGTCGTAGTATAATGTGAGCCCTGCTGGGATGAAGCTGTGAACTGACAAAACACGCGGCTGTGTATGCCAGACAGCACACCTCATGAATGTGATTGTGGTGCACAGTAGGTGCTCTTCCAGCGGCACACTGATACTGCATCTGTTGTCTGGCACTGACCGGACTCTTGATTTTCTTATTCGTTGACTGTGATGTTGCCAATCTAACAATTCCACTGTCTCCCATTTCATGTGCAATATGTCTCATCTACCGGTAAATGTCTCTGCGCTTAATGGACAAAATGTTTTACTGGATGGGCAAGTCATTATGATGGCAGGCACAGCATCTGCCACACATTTAAGTTATACTTTGTGTAAACGATTAGTGGATTATTGCTGTACTGCCGGTTTAACGAACAGCCAGTAACAAACACTGAGGTTAACGTAATTGAAAGGATATGTTATATTGGTTCAGGTGTCAAACACTATTCGGCTCTACATAAATTAACGTTTGTTCTAAGACTTATTATTAAAAAGGTGTCTAGCCCTCTTTTAACCCTGCAAGTTGTCTATGAACTAACTTAAGCTGCAACAGTTGCTTAGTAAGAGGCCAAATTCTTTAACAGCCACATGCTCATAAAAATGTTACAACAGCAAATGGCACAACAAATTATTCCACTTAAAACACAAACATGCCACTGTACATTGACTAAAGCAAGAATTTGAAATGTAATATTCCTCTTATGGCTGTAACCAGCATTATCTCCCTTTTATCCAATCTTTTTTTTATTATTAATTAATCATTTGGTCTGTAAAGTCTTCACAAAGTTGACACATTTTAAATGTCTTGTTTTTGTCTGACCCGCAGACCAAATTATATTCAGTTTAATATTTTATATATAAGACTAAAAGTGAGTAAATTTTCACACTTGAAGCTGGAACCACTGCATTTTCAGTAGAGCTGCAACAATTAATCAATTAGTAGATTAACTGATTAGTTGTCAACTATTAAATTAACTTTTTAAATAAGCAATGAATTCCTTGGAATCTTTTTTAATTTAAAAAGAAGTCCATATTTTGAATTCAACTTCTTCTCAAATGTGAATATTTTCGGGTTTCTTTGCTCCTCTTTGACAGTAAACTGAATATATTTGGGTTGTGGACAAAAGAGACTTAAGGATGTCACCTTGGGCTTTGGGAGACACTGACATTTAAAAAAAAAAAAAAAAAAAAAAAAAAAAATGGCCCTAACAACTAATCAATTTAGTTGAGAAAATAATCGACAGGATAATTAAAATCATTAGTTGCAGTTCTAATTTTTAACACATTAGCTTTTTAAAACAAAACAAAATGTTTGTAAGTTCTCTGTCAGATGTTTCAGGTTTAGTTACTGTTTATATTTTAGCAATTTATAAGCGGACATTTAAGTAATTAATGTAGTTCACTTCTAAAGATTGCTTCAGCAGTAGCACCTCCAGTTTACATAAAACATGGATGCTGTGGGAGCTGAGGCTGGGCTGCTGCAAGTGGGACAAAAAGTGGGGTAATACTTTCACTGAACTTCAAGCTGGAGGAGGCTGTTAAGAGAGGAGAGGTGATACTGTACTCAGTTCATTTCATCAGGGTGGGGGTCCCAGTGTTGCAGTCTGTCATCTCATCGCTTCTCAATTCCACTGCTGGAGTAAACCGGTTGCCTTTTATTTTTATTTTTTGCTGTGGGATATAGAGTAGGTATACAGTACCAATTGGTAATTCTTTTGTTATATCATGGTGTATGTTGGCCATGTTATTAAGACAGATGCGTCACACTTACCCTTTTACACCATTCCACAATATTGAACTTTCGTGTACTGCTTGTACTATGAAAAGTTATATGAATATCGACATGTTTTAAATGTATAAAAGAGTAGAAAAGACGAGTAGACTCTTGTCTTTTTGGTCATTTTTTAAAATAATGCCCCGTAATAATTCAGGTACAATATAAGAGTAAAATGTTCAGAATAAGAATGGTTTAGCAATCAAAAATAGTCAGTTTGTTTCAAATTAGTCCAACCCCAAAAGGGATAAATGTCTTAGAGCTTATTTGTCTTACTATACTATTTGTGGTTGTAGAATATGTAAATGAAAGAAGACTTCCTGTTTGCCAGCATGTCCAGTTGCCTCAGGCTGAATGCTTCTAGACACTAATAATCAAAAGTGAGACCAAACGGTTGAATGCAAAAATTAAAATTCCCCTTCCAAACTACAGTAGGATGTTAAAAACAAAGCCCAAAAGAGTTTCACACTTTAGACTGTGGAGGGCAGTACAACACAACTACGAAAAAGGAGGCTACAATCTACATGAATTCAGTTGGCTTTCTGCATATATGCTGCATTGAACACAAAATGTAAACAAAATGTTTATGTTAAGACTTAATCTATGCTTTCCATTTTTCTCACATTTGTAAAAACATTTCTTTAATGTGATCTAAAAAAAGGAAATCTGTTAGTCGGTGTGTCCCAGATGCGCACACACCAACAGTGGGTGCAAGCAGAGCTTGTGGAGACAGTCAAGACACCGCGGGTAGTAACTGCACAACTTTGGGAGTCACGGGTAATGGAGGAAGGAAATGTTTTGTGAATCACAGGGAGATTTTCTGGGAAATGTTGCCGAGGTAATCACTAGGCTGTGGTGGTCAGCAATCTGAGCCTCCTGCTGAGATCCAGAGATGTGTGGTGGGCAGAATAAGATGTTTGATGCCTAAGGTGGAAAAAAGCTTGAGCGTCTGCCAGAGGTATGTATGAATCATGCTGAAAACTGGTTCCTGTTGAAGCCTTAAAGGTAAATGAAAACCTAAATCTGTATTTACAGAATAGCTAGGTGCAGCAAAAATAATGAACCAGTTCATCAGCCTAATTACCTTTTTATTGAAAATCTACCAATCAGCATTATTCACTTATATTACTAATACCATCATGCTCATTTAAAAAAAACTCTTCAGAGGGATGTTTGATGCTGAATAAAAACAATGTTTGAAATGTGGCTGCTAACTGACATTTTTATTTCACTTATTGATTAATTTGATCATTGTGTCAATCAAATGATCGTTTAGTCTACAAAATAGTCAAAGCAGAACATTCTTGCATTTGAGAAGCTGGAACTCATGAATTTTTGGCATTTTTGGTTGACAGATTGCTTGAATGAATATAACAAATGAAGGAAGATAATTAAACCAATTTACATTAGTATTTTTTAAACCACCCCTGCCACTGGAAGTGAGGAAAAAAAACTGTATTCCCTACCAATTAAATGTTCATCTACTGTGGAAACAAAAAGTGCAAAGTTGAGCTTTTGAAATAACATTATCTTTATTAGTAGTTTCTGGGCCTCCCTAAGGTTTGCACGATGATCAACAAGAAAATAGAAACGGCTACACAAAATTAAGTTTATTTTTCTCCAGTCCTTGCTCTCTATACAAAATATTGCAGACTCATAGATCTTCAGGACTCAAATCATTCAAATTAAACTGTTTGAGAGGGGAGACTCCTCAAGTCTTTGTTTGAGCTCTCTGACATACAGTATGTGTACATATGTAACCTGTGTCACGTGGTCACAGCCAGCTATTGCGTCATTTCAAAATACCTGATCATGAAACACAACACTCTTTTTAATGCATGGTTCTCATAAGTTTATGTTGTGCAAATGAGAAATGCAACCTAAAGCTTTTACGAACAAAAGGCTCTCAGATGGACATCTTGCTCTCTAGCCTTTGTGAGAACAGTTTTGCTTAGTGACATCTCACTTTTCTTCCCTTTAAAAAAATTCTGTTTGTGTTGTTCCTTACATGTTATATATTAAATCGCTAACCTGAATCTTGATAGCAGTGCAACATCAGAGCGCATATACATGCAATCATATTAACAATCTTTTTAATCTCGTTGTAGTCTTGTAAATCCTTTTTATGTAAACT